TTACCTCCCTTACCCCCATAATTACCCCCCATTACCCCCATAATTACCCCCGATAGCCCCATAACTACTCCCATTATCCCCACAATTACCCCCATAACTACCCTCCATTTCCCCCCCATAATTACCCCCCATAGCCCCACAATTACCCCCCATAATTACCCCCCTTACCCCCATAATTACCCCCCATTGCCCCACAATTACCCTCCATAATTACCCCCATAATTACCCCCCATAGCCCCACAATTACCCCCCATAATTACCCCTATAATTACCCCCATTACCCCCATAATTACCCCCCATAGCCCCATAACTACCCCCCATTACCCCCATAATTACCCCCCATAGCCCCATAACTACCCCCCATTACCCCCATAATTCCCCCCCATAGCCCCATAACTACCCATTACCCCATAATTACCCCCCATAGCCCCACAATTACCCGCCATAATTACCCCCATAATTACCCCCATAATTACCCCCCTTCACCCCCCATAATTACCCCCCATAGCCCCATAATTACCCCCCATTACCCACCATAATTACCCCCATTACCCCCATAATTACCCCCCATTACCCCCATAATTACCCCCCATAATTACCCCCATAGCCCCCCATAATTACCCCCATAATTACCCCCCCATAGCCCCATAATTACCCCCATTACCCACCATAATTACCCCCTTACCCCCATAATTACCCCCCATTACCCCCATAATTACCCCCATAATTACCCCCCCATAGCCCCATAATTACCCCCCATTACACCCATAATTACCCCCCATAATTACCCCCATAGCCCCACAATTACCCCCATAATTACCCCCCCATATCCCCCCTTTACCCCCCCATAGACCTGCCCCCCCCCCCCCTTCCCTCCGTCACGTGGTCCCCCATGTGGGCGTGTCCTCACCTCTCGCTCCGCCCTCCTCGCTCTCTCCTCCCTCTTCCTCCTCTCCCCTTCGGCCTCCTCCTCGTCCCTCCGCACCCGGGCCAGGTTCTCCTGTTCCGGACGTGCCAGGACTTCTTGGGCAGCAGGTTCATGGCCTCCGCTCCCCCCCGGCTCCACCTCACACCCACCCACACCGGGATCAGCCCCGTACGCGAGCCCCAGGCTTCACCGGGCCGCGCAGGCCGCAAAACCCCGCCCTCCCATTGGGCCCCGCCTCGACGCCGCCGCGCTCTCATTGGACGCGCCGCCCCGCGCGGGGCGTGATGGGAGTCGGAGTCCGCGGCGCGGGGCATTGTGGGAGCGGCGCCATCTTGGGGGGGGCGGTTTGGCAACGACTCGCCTCAGCTTTACCCCGGTTTTGAGTCATTTCCCTCAGATTTGAACGATTTACAGTAAATTCAGCCTAAATTTACATCATTTCTGTCAAATTTGAACGATTTCCAGAAAATTCAGCCTAAATTTACATCATTTCTGTCAAATTTGAACGATTTCCAGCAAATTCAGCCTAAATTTACATCATTTCTGTCAAATTTGAACGATTTCCAGCAAATTCAGCCTAAATTTACATCATTTCTGTCAAATTTGAACGATTTCCAGAAAATTCAGCCTAAATTTACATCATTTCTGTCAAATTTGAACGATTTCCAGCAAAGTTAGCCTAAATTTACATCATTTCTGTCAAATTTGAACGATTTCCAGCAAATTCAGCCTAAATTTACATCATTTCTGTCAAATTTGAACGATTTCCAGCAAAGTTAGCCTAAATTTACATCATTTCTGTCAAATTTGAACGATTTCCAGCAAATTCAGCCTAAATTTACATAATTTCTGTCAAATTTGAACGATTTCCAGCAAATTCAGCCTAAATTTACCTCATTTCCTTCAAATTTTACCGATTTCCCTCACATTTGCCCCAATTTTAGCTCATTTCCATCAAATTTGAACAATTCTCCGCAAATTTAGCCTGAATTTACATCGTTTCCGCCAAATTTTACCAATTTCCCTCAAATTTAGCCCAAATTTCCCTCAAATTTACCCCATTCCTTCAGTTTTATCCCAATTTTGCCCCATTTCTGTCAAATTTGAATAATTTCCATCAAATTTAGCCTGAATTTACCTCATTTCTGTCAAATTTGAACGATTTCCAGCAAATTCAGCCTAAATTTACCTTGTTTCTGTCAAATTTGAACAATTTTAACCAAATTTAGCCTAAATTTACCCGATTTCTATCGAATTTGAACAATTTCCAGCAAATTTAGCCTAAATCTACCTCATTTCTGTCAAATTTGAATGATTTCCCTCAAATTTACCCCAGTTTTGAGGCATTTCCCTCAAATTTGAACGATTTCCAGCAAATTTAGCCTAAATTTACCTCATTTCTGTCAAATTTGAATGATTTCCCTCAAATTTATCCCGGTTTTGAGTCATTTCCCTCAAATTTGAACCATTTCCAGCAAATTTAGCCTAAATTTACATCATTTCTGTAAAATTTGAACGATTTCCCTCAAATTTACCCCGGTTTTGAGTCATTTCTGTCAGATTTGAACAATTTCCAGCAAATTTAGCCTAAATTTACCTCATTTCCGTCAAATTTGAACAATTCCCATCAAATTTAGCCTAGATTTACCTCATTTCTGTCAAATTTGAACGATTTCTATCAAATTCAGCCTAAATTTACCCCATTTCTGTCAAATTTGAACGATTTCCATCACATTTGCCCCAATTTTGCCTCTTTTCCCTCAAACTTAAACAATTCCCCTCTAATTTACCCCAATTTTGCCTCATTTTCCTGAAGTTTGACCGATTTCCCTCAAATTTAGCCTGATTTTGACTCATTTCCCTCAGATTTGGCTGATTTCCCTCAAATTTACCCCAGTTCTTCCTCATTTTCCTCAGAATTAAAAAATTCCCCTCAAATTTACCCAAATTTTGCCTCATTTTCCTCAAATTTGACCAATTTTCCTCAAATTTGGCCCAAATTTCCTCCATTCCTTCAGTTTTTACCCCAAATCTGCCCCATTTCCCTCAAATTTAACCTAGTTTCCTGAGTTTCAATGCAAATTTCCAAATTCACCTCGATTTTACCCCAATTTTGCCTCATTTCCCTCAAATTTGGCCAATTCCCCTCAAATTTACCCCAATTTTGCCTCATTTCCCTGTAATTTGACCAATTTCCCTCAGTTTTACCCCAAATTTACCCCATTTCCCCCCAATTTCCTTCAAATCCAACCCAAATTTACCTCATTTCCCCTAAATTTGCCCAATTTCCTTTAGTTTTCCCCAAATTTGCCCCATTTCCCCCCAATTTCCTTCAAATCCATCCCAAATTTACCTCATTTCCCCTAAATTTGCCCAATTTCCCTCAGTTTTCCCCCAAATTTGCCTTATTTTCCCCCCAATTTCCCTTTCACCCCCAACCCCCCCCTCCCCATCCTCCCCCATTCACCCACACATGGGGGGTGTTCTCCAGCTCTTTATTGGTTCCACTGGGGGGACCCCTCCCACCCCAACCCTGCCCCACACTTGGGGGGCTCTGGGTACGGCCCCCCCCCCCCATTGCCTATTGGGGTTCAAGGGGGTCCCCCCATGCCCCCCCCTCTTCCTCCCCCCCCCATTCCTCCCTTAGCAGCATCCCTGGGGCCCCTCCTCCTCATCCCAATGTCCCCCTCACCCCCATCGCTATGGGTCCCGTTGCTATGGGTCCCATCCCTATGGCTCTTATCGCTATGGGTCCCATCCCTACATCTCCCAGTGCTGTGTCCTCCATCACTGTGTGCCCCATCCCTATGGGTCCTGGTGCTATGGGGCCCATCCCTATGGGTCCCTGTGCTCTGTTCCCCATCGCCATGGGTCCTGCTATGGGTCTCATCACTTTGTCCCTCATCCCTATGGCTCCCATCGCTATGTGTCCCGTTGCTATGGTGACCGTCACTATGGGTACCATCGCTATACGTCCTGGTGCTCTGTGCCCCATCCCTATGGGTCCCGTTGCTATGGTGACCATCACTATGGGTACCAGCCCTATGGCTCCCATTGATACAGTAATCATCGCTATGGGTCCCTTCTCTATGGCTCCCGTTGCTATGGTAATCATCGCTATGGGTCCCATCACTATGGGTACCATCCCCATGGCTCCTGTTGCCATGGCTCCTGTTGCTATGGCTACCACCATCCCTATGGTTCCCATCCCTATGGGTACCACCACTATGAGCCCTGTTGCCATGACTCCCATCCCCATGCCTCCCATCCCCCTGACTCCCGTTGCCATGACTCCTGTTGCCATGGCTCCCATCCCCATGGCTCCCATCCCCATGGCTCTCATCCCTATGGCTCCCATCCCTATGGGTACCACCACTATGAGCCCCGTTGCCATGACTCCCATCCCTATGGGTACCATCATCCCCATGACTCCCATCCCTATGACTCCCATCCCCATGGCTCCCATCCCTATGGGTACCACCATCCCTATGGCTCCCATCCCTATGACTCCCATCCCCATGGCTCCCGTTGCCATGCCTCCTGTCGCCATGGCTCCCATCCCCATGACTCCCATCCCTATGGCTACCACCATCCTCCTGCCTCCCGTTGCCATGACTCCCATCCCCATGGCTCCCATCCCTATGGGTACCACCATCCCCATGACTCCCATCCCTATGGGTACCACCATCCCTATGGCTCCCATCCCCATGCCTCCCATCCCTATGGGGTACCACCATCCCCATGCCTCCCATCCCTATGGGTACCACCATCCCTATGGCTCCCATCCCCATGGCTCCCGTTGCCATGCCTCCTGTCGCCATGGCTCCCATCCCCATGGGTACCACCATCCCCATGACTCCCATCCCTATGGCTACCACCATCCCTATGGCTCCCATCCCCATGCCTCCCATCCCCATGACTCCCATCCCCATGGGTACCACCATCCCCATGGCTCCCATCCCCATGGCTCCCATCCCCATGGCTCCCATCCCCATGGCTCCCATCCCTATGGGTACCACCATCCCCATGACTCCCATCCCTATGGCTACCACCATCCCCATGCCTCCCATCCTCATGGCTCCCATCCCTATGGGTACCACCATCCCCATGCCTCCCATCCTCATGACTCCCATCCCTATGGCTACCACCATCCCTATGGCTCCCGTTGCCATGGCTCCCATCCCCATGGGTACCACCATCCTCATGACTCCCATCCCCATGGGTACCACCATCCCCATGACTCCCATCCCTATGGCTACCACCATCCCCATGCCTCCCGTTGCCATGGCTCCCATTCCCATGGCTCCCATCCCTATGCCTCCCGTTGCCATGACTCCCATCCCTATGGGTACCACCGTTGCCATGACTCCCATCCCTATGGCTACCACCATCCCCATGCCTCCCATCCTCATGACTCCCATCCCTATGGCTACCACCATCCCCATGCCTCCCATCCCCATGGCTACCACCATCCCCATGCCTCCCGTTGCCATGCCTCCCATCCCCATGGCTACCACCATCCCCACGCCCCCCATCCCCACGCCTCCCCCCCGCCGCCCCACACGCTCTCCTCACCCCCTCCCCGGCCATAAACGCGAGGGGCAGGAGATGGAAGCAGAACCCCAACGCCCCCCAGTAACTGAGAGCGTCGCGGCCCCTCCGCAGGACGAAACCCACGCTCAGGTACTCGAAGACGCGCATGGGAGCGCGCGGCCCAACGGGACCCCCAACGCCGGCGGCAGCGCGCCCAACGCCGCCGGCACCGCCGCGCGCTCGGCCGCCAGCCATAGGGGCAACGAGAGCAGGCTCAGGTAGAGCCCCCCATGCAGGCCGTGCCAGTAAGCGGAGGCGAGGAGGGTCACCGAGGCGCTGGGGTGGGGAGAGATGATGGGGGGGTGAAGGGTGATGTAGAGACACATAGAGACACATAGAGACACATAGAGACACATAGGGACACATAGGGACACATAGAGACACATAGGGACCCATAGAGACACATAGAGACACATAGGGACACATAGAGACCCATAGAGACACATAGAGACACATAGAGACACATAGAGACACATAGAGACCCATAGAGAACATAGAGAACACATAGAGACACATAGAGACACATAGAGACACATGGGACACATAGAGACGCATAGAGACACATAGAGACACATAGAGACACATAGAGACCCATAGAGACCCATAGAGAACATAGAGAACACATAGAGACACATAGAGACACATGGGACACATAGAGACGCATAGAGACACATAGAGACACATAGAGACACATAGAGACACATAGGGACACATAGAGACACATAGAGACACATAGAGACACATAGGGACACATAGGGACACATAGAGACACATAGAGACACATAGGGACACATAGAGACACATAGAGACACATAGAGACACATAGAGACACATAGAGACACATAGAGACACATAGGGACACATAGAGACACATAGAGACACATAGAGACACATAGGGACACATAGAGAACACATAGAGACACATAGGGACACATAGGGACACATAGAGACACATAGAGACACATAGAGACACATAGAGACACATAGGGACACATAGGGACACATAGGGACACATAGAGACACATAGGGACACATAGAGACACATAGAGACACATAGGGACACATAGAGACACATAGAGACACATAGAGACACATAGAGACACATAGGGACACATAGGGACACATAGAGACACATAGGGACACATAGAGACACATAGGGACACATAGAGACACATAGAGACACATAGAGACACATAGAGACACATAGAGACACATAGAGACCCATAGAGACACATAGGGACACATAGAGACACATAGAGACACACATAGAGACACATAGGGACACATAGAGACACATAGAGACACATAGAGACACATAGGGACACATAGAGACACATAGAGACCCATAGAGACACATAGGGACACATAGAGACACATAGAGACACACATAGAGACACATAGGGACACATAGAGACACATAGGGACACATAGAGACACATAGGGACACATAGAGACACATAGAGACACATAGAGAACATAGAGACACATAGAGACACATAGAGACACATAGAGACACATAGGGACACATAGAGACACATAGAGACACATAGAGACACATAGAGACACATAGGGACACATAGAGACACATAGAGACACATAGAGACACATAGAGACACATAGGGACACATAGGGACACATAGGGACACATAGAGACACATAGAGACACATAGGGACACATAGAGACACATAGGGACACATAGAGACACATAGGGACACATAGGGACACATAGGGACACATAGAGACACATAGAGACACATAGAGACACATAGAGACACATAGGGACACATAGAGAACACATAGAGACACATAGGGACACATAGGGACACATAGAGACACATAGGGACACATAGGGACACATAGGGACACATAGGGACACATAGGGACACATAGAGACACATAGAGACACATAGGGACACATAGAGACACATAGAGAACATAGAGAGCCCACAGAGATCACAGAGACCCATAGAGACACATAGACCCATAGAGAACCCATAGAAAACATAGAGACACATAGAGAACATAGAGACCCATAGAGACCGTAGACACCCACGGAGAATCAGAGACCCATAGAGACCCATAGAGACCCCATTCGCCCCATTGCCCCCATTCCATCACCCCATCCCCCCATCACCCTCATTCCCATCCCAATTCCCATCCCTCCCATCCCATCTCCCCCATCCCCCATCCCCCCATCCATCTCCCTCATTCCATTCCCCCCATCCCATCACCCCATTACCCCCCATCCCCCCATCACCCCCATCCCCCCCATTCCCCCATCACCCCCATCCCCCGTTACCCCCATTCCCCCCATCACCCCCATTCTATTCCCATCGCCCCCATCCCCCCATTCTCATCACCCCATTACCCCATCACCCCCATTACCCCATCACCCCCATTACCCCCTTTTCCCTATTACCCTCATTACCCCATTCCCCCCATTCCCCCATCCTCCCATCCCCCCATTCCCCCATTTCCCCCATCCCCCCCTTCCCCCCATTCCCATCCCCCCACCACCCCATCACCCCCATTGTCCCCATTACCCCCTTTTCCCCTATTACCCTCATTCCCCCATCCCCCCCACCCCCCCATTCCATTCCCCCATCCCATCCCCCCATTCCCCCATCACCCCCCATCCCCCAATCCCCCCATTCCCCCCATTCCCATTCCCCCATTTCCCCCATCCTCCCCTTCCCCCATTCCCATCACCCCAATTCCCATCCCCCCACCACCCCATCACCCCCATTACCCCCTTTTCCCCTATTACCCTCATTCCCCCATCCCCCCCACCCCCTCATCCCCCCATTCCATCCCCCCATTCCCCCCATCCCCCAATCCCCCCATTCCCCCATCACCCCCATTCCATTCCCCCCATTCCCCCATCCCATCCCCCCATTCCCCCATCACCCCCCATCCCCTCATCCCCCCATCCCTATCACCCCCATTCCATCCCATTCCCCCATCCCATCACCCCAATTCCCATTCCCCCATCCCCCCATTCCCCCATCCCCCCCATTCCCCCATCACCCCCATCTCCCCCTATTCCCTCATCCCCCCCATCCCCCCCATTCCATTCCCCCCATTCCATCCCCCCATTCCATCCCCCCCATTCCCCCATCCCATCACCCCAATTCCCATTCCCCCATCCCCCCCATCCCCCCCATTCCCCCATCCCCCCCATCACCCCCCATCCCCCCCATTCCCCCATCACCCCCCCACCCCATCCCCCCCATTGTCCCCATCCCCCCCATCACCCCCCATCCCCCCCCCCACCCCATCCCCCCATTGTCCCCATCACCCCCATCCCCCCCATTCCCCCATTGTCCCCATCCCCCCCATTGTCCCCATCCCCCCCATTGTCCCCATCCCCCCCATCCCCCCCATTGTCCCCATCCCCCCCATTGTCCCCATCCCCCCCATTGTCCCCATCCCCCCCATCACCCCCCCATTGTCCCCATCCCCCCCATTGTCCCCATCACCCCCATTGTCCCCATCCCCCCCATTGTCCCCATCACCCCCATTGTCCCCATTGTCCCCATCCCCCCCATTGTCCCCACCCCCCCCCATTTACCGCAGCAGGGGGGGTCCCGGCGTGCGGCGGTGCACGTAGTGCTGCAGCCACCACTGCACGGTCATGTTCCAACGCCGCAGCCCCTCGCGCACCCCCCGGCACCGCTCCGTGCCCCACGGATCCACCGTGCGGATGCACTCGAAATCCCAGTGCTGGGGGGCTGGGGGGCAGCTACTGGGGGGGGGATGGGGGATGGGGGGGGGGATGGGGGGAAATAGGGGGGGGATGGGGGGAAATGGGGGGGATGGGGGAATGGGGGGGATGGAGGGAATGGGGGTGATGGGGTGTGGGGGGAATGGGGGGAATGGGGGGGATGGGGTGTGGGGGGAATGGGGATGGGGGGGATGGGGTGTGGGTGGGATGGGGGAGGGGGGAAACGGGGGGGGATGGGGGGAATGGGGGTGGGATGGGGGGAGGGGGGAAATGGGGGGGATGGGGGAATAGGGGTAATGGGGGTAATGGGATGTGGAGGATGGAGGGGGGATTGGGGGATGGGGGGGAGTGGGGATGGGGGATGGGGGGATGGGGTGGGATGGGGGGGATATGGGGGGATGGGGTTTGGGTGGGATGGGGGGGATGGGGGGATGGGGGGAATGGGGGGAATGGGATGGGGAGGATGGAGGGAGGATGGAGGGGGGATGGAGGGAATGGGGGGATGGGGGGGAGTGGGGATGGGGATGGGGGATGGGGGGGATATGGGGGGATGGGGTTTGGGTGGGATAGGGGGCATGGGGGGAATGGGGGGAGGGGGGAAATGGGGGGGATGGTGGAAGAGGGGTGGGATGGGGGGATGGGGAGGATGGAGGGGGGATGGGGAGGATGGGGGGAGTGGGGATGGGGGGATAGGGTGGGGGTGGGGATGGGGGGGATTGGGGGGATGGGGATGGGGGGATGGGGATGGGGTGGGGAGGATGGGGGGGAGTGGGGATGGGGGAATGGGGGGAATGGGGGGATGGGGGAATGGGGGGGATGGGGGGAATGGGGGGAAATGGTGGGATGGGGGGATGGGGGAATCGGGGGGGATGGGGTGGGATGGGGGGATATGGGGGGGATGGGGGGATATGGGGGGGGATGGGGGGATGGAGGGAGTGGGAATGGGGGGATAGGGTGGGGATGGGGGGGTTGGGTGGGGAGGATGAAGGGGGGATGGGGGGGGAGTGGGGATGGGGGATGGGAGGGGTAGGGGGGGATGGGGGATGGGTGGGGGGGGGATGGAGATGGGGTGGGGATGTGGGGATGGGATGGGGAGGATGAAGGGGGGATGGGGGGATGGGATGGGGTGGGGAGATGGGGTGGGGATGGGAATGAGGGTGGGGATGGGGATTGGGTGGGATGGGGGGATGGGGGAGATGGGGGGGGATAGGAACAGAGCCATCAGTAGAAACCCCCAAGTAACCGCTCTCCATCCCCATCTCCCTCTGCCCCACATCCACCCCCATAGCCCTGGCCCCTTCCCCCCCCCCCATGTCCATGCCCCCTAGGTCCCCCCAGGTCCGCATTATTCCCCATTGCCCCCCACATCCCCTCAGCCCCACAACTCCCCACAGCCCCCATTGGCCCCAATGTCCCTCCCAGCAGCACATCTCCCCCCTGTCCCCATTGCCCCCCATTGATCCCCAATGACTCCCATTGACCCCCATTGACACCACAGCCCCCCCACTGACCTCCATTGACCCCCATTGATCTCCATGGATCCCATTGACGCCCATTAACCCCCATTGAGACCACAGATCCCCTCATTGACCTCCATTGAGCCCCATTGATGCCCATTGACACCATAGGCCCCCCATTGACCTCCATTGATCCCCACTGACCTCCATGGAGCCCCATTGACCTCCATTGATCCCCATTGACCTCCATTGACACCCATTGAGCCCCATTGACCTCCACTGAGCCCCATTGACCTCCATTGACCTCCCTTGATCCCCATTGATCTCTATTGACCCCATTAGTCTCATTGACCCCCATTGACCTCCATTGATCCCCATTGACCCCCATTGACACCACAACCCCCCATTGACCTCCACTGACCCCCATTGACCCCCATTGACCTCCATTGAGCTCCACTGACCTCCCTTGAACCCCATTGACCTCCATTGACCCTCAATTGACCTCCATTGAGCCCCATTGACCTCCATTGACCTCCCTTGATCCCCATTGATCTCCATTGACCCCATTAGTCTCATTGACCCCCATTGACCTCCATTGATCCCCATTGACCTCCATTGAGCCCCATTGACCCCCATTGACACCACAACCCCCATTGACCTCCACTGACCCCCATTGACCCCCATTGACCTCCATTGAGCCCCATTGACCTCCCTTGATCCCCATTGATCTCCATTGACCCCATTAGTCTCATTGACCCCACTGACCTCCATTGAGCCCCACTGACCTCCCTTGATCCCCATTGATCTCCATTGACCCCATTAGTCTCATTGACCCCCATTGACCTCCATTGAGACCCATTGACCTCCATTGAGCCCCATTGACACCACAGACCCCCCATTGACCTCCATTGACCCCCATTAACCTCCATTGAGCCCCATTGACCTCCATTGAGCACCATTGACCTCCATTGATCCCCACTGACCTCCATTGACCCCATTGGTCTCATTGATCCCCACTGACCTCCATTGACCCCCATTGACCTCCATTGACCCCCATTGACCTCCATTGATCCCCATTGACCTCCATTGAGCCCCATTGACCCCCATTGACCTCCATTGATCCCCATTGACCCCCATTGACCTCCATTGACCTCCATTAACCCCCATTGACACCACAGACCCCCCCCCCCCTCTTCCAACTCACCTCTCCCCCCCTTTTCTCCCCCTTCCTCGTGGGTCCGCAGCCCGGCCGGGCACCCCTCTCCTTCGGGTACCCCCCAAAGGCAGCCACCAGGCAGGCGGCCTCGGCGCACAACCACCCCACATAGAAACGCAAGCGGAAGGCCAAGAAGACCGGGGCGCTGGCCAAGAGGCGCCAAGGGAAAGACCAGCCCCATAGCGCCGGCCCTAGCAAGGTCCTGGCAGGGAAGAGGCGACCGCAAGCTTCGGCCACCAAGGCGAAGGCCGGCACCCAACGGAGGCGTTCGAGGATGAGCGAGGGGGAGAAAGGGGGCGAAGGCCCCCGGAGCCAGTCCTGGTAGGTGCGGAGGCGGTAGAAGGGGCCTATGGGGTGGGGAAAGGGGGTGAGGGAGAGCATAGGGAAGGTCAGAGAGACCCATAGAGAGCATAGAGACTCACAGAAAGCATAGAGACCCATAGGGACCCATAGAAATCATAGAGACCCATAGGGACCCATAGAAAGCATAGAGACCCATAGGGACCCATAGAGACCCATACAAAGCATAGAGACCCATAGGGACCCATAGAAAGCATAGAGACCCATAGGGACCATAGAGACCCATAGAAAGCATAGAGACCCATAGGGACCCATAGAGACCCATAGAAAGCATAGAGACCCATAGGGACCCATAGAAGTCATAGAGACCCATAGGGACCCATAGAGACCCATAGAAAGCATAGAGACCCATAGGGACCCATAAAGATCCCCAGAGATCCATAGAGAGCCATAGAGACCACAGGGACCCATAGAGACCCATAAAGACCCATAGAGCGCATGGAGGCCATAGAGACCCATAGAGAGCATAGGAACCCATAGAAACCCATAGGGACCCATAGAGAACATAGAGACCCACAGAGACCAATACAAACCATAGAGACCCATAAAGACCATAAAGACCCCATAGAGACCCATAGAGACCCATAGAGATCATAGAGACCCATAAAAACCCATAGAGAGCACAAAGACATAGAGACCCATAGAAACCCATAAAGACCATAGAGACCCATAGAAAGCATAGAGACCCATAGGAACCCATAGAAAGCATAGAGACCCATAGAGAGCATAGGGACCCATAGAGACCCATAGGAACCCATAGAGACCCACAGAGACCCATAGAGATGAGATCCATAGAACCCATAAAGACCCATAGACAAAGACCCATAGAGCCCCTAGAGACCATAAGGACCCATAGAGACCATAGAGACCACAGAGACCCATAGAAAACATAGAGACAATAGAGCCCCATAGAGCCCTACAGAGCCCCATAGACAACATAGAAACCATAGAGCCCCATAGAGCCCCACAGACCTCATAGAGACCATACAGACCTACAGAGCCTATACACAACATAGAGACCATAGAGCCCCATAGAGCCCCATAGAGCTCATAGAGCATAGAGACTATAGAGATCTACAGAGCCCCATAGACAACATACAGACCACAGAGCCCCATAGAGCCCCATAGAGCCCATAGAGAAAGACCCATAGAGCCCCATAGACAACATAGAGACCACAGAGACCCATAGAGCCCCTAGAAACCCATAGAGAAAGACCCATAGAGCCCCATAGACAACATAGAGCCCCATAGAGCTCATAGAGACTAGAGCCCCATAGACAACATAGAGACCGTAGAGACCCATAGAGCTCATAGAGACCATAGAGACCTATAGAGCCCCATAGACAACATAGAGACCATAGAGACCCATAGAACCCCTAGAGACCCATAGAGAAAGACCCATAGAACCCCATAGACAACATAGAGACCACAGAGACCCACAGAGCCCCATAGAGCCCCTAGAGACCCATAGAGAAAGACCCATAGAGCCCATAGACAACATAGAGACCACAGAGGCCCATAGAGCCCCTAGAGACCCATAGAGAAAGACCCATAGAGCCCCATAGACAACATAGAGCCCCATAGAGCCCCATAGACAACATAGAGACCGTAGAGACCCATAGAGACCCATAGAGCTCATAGAGACCATAGAGACCTATAGAGCCCCATAGACAACATAGAGACCACAGAGACCCATAGAGACCCATAGAGAAAGACCCATAGAACCCCATAGACAACATAGAGACCACACAGACCCATAGAGCCCCATAGAGCAAGGCCCATAGAGCCCCATAGTCCCCCCCACACCCCCCTGCCCCATAGATCCCCCCACGCACCCGTCAGCAGCCCCAGGTAGCAGTAGCTGTAGCACAGGATCTCCACCAATCCCGGGCAGCTCTCGAGCCCGCCAATCACGTCGTCCGCCTCCGCTGACGTCACGCCCTTCAGCCCCGCCTCCCGCAGGTCCTGCACGTCAGTGGCCATGCTCACCATCTAGGGGAGGGAAGGGGGCGGGGCCAAGGGGTGAGGACACGCCCACCGCGGTGACGACCAATCAGAGGCCGCTCCTCCTCCCCAAGGCCACGCCCCCCCCCCTTTAGGGCCCCAACCCCCGGACCCACTTGCTCCCTATAGCCCCTATGGTCCCTCCCTATAGCAACCTATGGTCCCCCTATACCCCCCTATGCCCCCCTATAGCCCCCTATGGCCTCCCTATAGCCCCCTATGTCCCCCTATAGCCTCCCTATAGCCCCCTATGTCCCCTATAGCCCCTATAGCCTCCCTATAGCCCCCTATGTCCCCCTATAGCCCCTATGTCCCCCTATAGCCCCCTATGGGCCTCCCCATAGCCCCCTATGGTCCCCCCATAGCCCCTTATAGCCTCTCCATAGCCCCCCATGACCCTTTCTAATACCCACCTATGGGCTTCCCCTATAGTCCCCCCCATAGCCCCCTCTACCCCCTATAGCCCAGTATACCCCCCTTTATCCCCTATACCCCCCCCATAGCCTCTCCCATAGCCCCCTATACCCCCCCTATACCCCCCATAGCCCCTATAACCCCCCTGTAGCCCTCCCATAGCCCCATATCCCCTATATGCCCCCATATGCCCCTATAGCCCCCCATAGCCCCCTATACCCCCCATAGCCCCAGTATACCCCCCTTTACTCTCTATACCCCCCCCACAGCCCCCCCCCATATCCCCCCTATAGCCCCCCATAGCCCAGTATACCCCCCTTTAGCCCCCTATACCCCCATAGCGGCCCCAGCCCCCTATACCCCCCCATAGCCCCTATGCCCCCCATAGCTCCCTATACCCCCTATAGTCCCCCCCATAGCCTCCCCCATAACCCCTTATACCCCCCCATAGCCCCCTATACCCCCCATAACCCCCCTATAGGCCCCCCATACCACCCCTATACCCACCATAGCTTCCTATAGCCCCCACCATAGCCCCCTATACCCCCCCCTTACCCCCCATAGCCCCCTATACCCCCCCATAGCCCCCTATACCCCCCCTATAGCCCCCCCACACCACCCCTATACCCCACCATAGCTCCCTATAGCCCCCCCCATAGCCCCCTATACCCCCCTATTACCCCCCATAGCCCCCTATACCCCCCATAGCCCCCTATATCCCCCCATAGCCCCTATACCCCCCCATAGCCCCCTATACCCCCCCTATAACCCCCCTATAACCCCCCCATACCACCCCTATACCCACCATAGCTCCCTATAGCCCCCCCATAGCCCCCTATACTCCCCTCTTACCCCCATAGCCCCCTATATCCCCCCATAGCCCCTATACCCCCCCATAGCCCCCTATACCCCCATAGCACTCTATACCCCCCCATAGCCCCCTATACCCCCCATAGCCCACTATACCCCCCCTATAGCCCCCCCATACCACCCCTATACCCCACCGTAGCTCCCTATAGCCCCCCCCATAGCCCCCTATACTCCCCTCTTACCCCCATAGCCCCTATACCCCCCCATAGCCTCCTATATCCCCCCATAGCCCCTATACCCCCCATAGCCCTCTATACCCCCCATAGCCCCCTATACCCCCCCATAGCCCACTATACCCCCCCTATAGCCCCCCCATACCACCCCTATACCCCACCATAGCTCCCTATAGCCCCCCCCATAGCCCCCTATACCCCCCATAGCCCCTATACCCCCCCATAGCCCCCTATACCCCCATAGCCCCCCCCACAGCCCCTATGGACCTTGAGGGTGAGCAGCAGTTGGAGGGCATTGGCATAGGGGGGGGGCTGGGGCAGCCCCCCACAGCTCGGGGGTGCGGAAGAACAGGAGGTACCCGAAGGTCCAGAGCAGGGCGGCCCAACCGCAGCGCCTTGGGGGGGGGGAGATCAACACCCCCCATGGACACCCCCACATCGACCCCATCAATGGAACCCCCCCAACGAACCCCCCCCCCATACATCCTAATGGAACCTCCAATGGACCGTAAGGAACCTCCCCAATGGGACCCCCCCCCCCCATGGACACCCCCCCCCCCATGGACTCCCCCTATGGACCCCCCTCAATGGAACCCCCCCATGGACCCCCCTCAATGGAACCGCCCCATGGACCCCCTCAATGGACCCCCCCCATGGACCCCCCTCAATGGACCCCCCTCCCCCCATGGACCCCCCTCAATGGACCCCCCCCATGGACCCCCCTATGGACCCCCCTCAATGGAACCCCCCCCATGGACCCCCCTCAATGGACCCCCCCCATGGACCCCCCCATGGACTCCCCCTATGGACCCCCCAAATGGAACCCCCCATGGACCCCCCTCAATGGACCCCCCCCCCCATGGACTCCCCTATGGACCCCCCTCAATGGAACCCCCCAATAAACCCCAATGCACCCCAATGGACCCCAATGAACCCCAATGCACCCCAATGCACCCAAATGGAACCCCCCAATAAACCCCAATGCACCCAATGGACCCCAATGCACCCAAATGGAACCCTCCCAATAGACCCCAATGCACCCCCATGCACCCCAATGGACCCCAATGCACCCCCATGCACCCCAATAGACCCTAATGCACCCCAATAGACCCTAATGCACCCCAATGGACCCCCATGCACCCCAATAGACCCCAATGGACCCCAATGGACCCCAATGCACCCCAATAGACCCCAATAGGCCCTAATGCACCCAATAGACCCCAATGCACCCCAATGGACCCCAATAGACCCCAATGCACCCCAATGGACCCCAATGCACCCCCATGCACCCCAATAGACCCCAATGGACCCAATGGACCCCAATGCACCCCAATAGACCCCAATAGGCCCTAATGCACCCCAACAGACCCCAATGCACCCAACAGACCCCAATGGACCCCAATGCACCCCCATGCACCCCAATGCACCCCCATGCACCCCAATGCACCCCAATGGACCCCAATGCACCCCAATGGACCCCAATACCCCCCATGCCCCCCCCCCAAGCCCCGCCCCCTTGCTCCGGTCGGCCCCGCCCACCTGGGCGTGGCTCGCAGCACTACCCACGTGCCGAGGGCGGTGACCAATGAGTGCAGGGCGTGGGGGCCACACGTGACCAGCGTCAGCCCCACCCCCAGGCCTGACCCCACCCACTGCCGGAACCGTGGGCCTGGGGGGGGAGGGGAACAAAGGGGTCAGAGCCATGGAGACCCCCATAGAGACCCATTGAGACCCATTGAGCCCCATAGAGACCATTGAGACCCATAGAGACCATTGAGACCATTGAGCCCCATTGAGACCATTGAGCCCCATAGAGACATTGAGCCCCATAGAGACCCACAGAGACCCATAGAGACCCATTGAGCCCCATTGAGACCCATAGAGACCCATTGAGACCATTGAGCCCCATAGAGACCATTGAGCCCCATAGAGACCCACAGAGACCCATAGAGACCCATTGAGACCATTGAGCCCCATAGAGACCATTGAGCCCCATAGAACCATTGACCATTGAGCCCCATTGACACCATTGAGCCCCATTGACACCATTGAGCCCCATTGAGACCCATAGAGAGCCGTTGAGACCATTGAGACCCATAGAGACCCACTGAGCCCCATTGAGCCCATTGAGCCCATAGAGACCCATTGAGACCCATAGAGACCCATAGAGACCCATTGAGACCACTGTGACCCATAGAGACCCATTGAGAGCCATTGAGACCCATTGAGCCCCATTGAGACCATTGAGCTATTGAGCCCCATAGAGCCCCATTGAGACTACTGAGACCCATAGAGACCCATTGAGCCCCATTGAGACCACTGAAACCCATAGAGACCCATTGAGAGCCATTGAGACTCACTGAGCCCCATTGAGACCATTGAGCCCATTGAGACCCATTGAACCCCACTGAGACCCATTGAGCCCATTGAGCCCCATTGAGCCCCACTGAGCCCCATTAAGACCATTGAGACACATTGAGCCCCATTGAGACCATTGAGCCCCATTGAGCCCCGTTGAGCCGCATTGAGCCCCATTGAGCCCCATTGATCCCCTAGATCCCCACTGCACCCCCCCATTGAATCCCATTCACCCCCCACTGATCCCATTGAACCCCCACTGAGCCCCATTGCCCCCCAGACCCCCACTGCATTCCCCATTGACCCCAATGACCTCCCATTGACCCCCATTGCCCCCCCCAGACCGCCATTCCACCCCCATTGAGCCCCATTGACCCCCATTCCACCCCCCCATTGCCCCCATTCCACCCCCATTGAGCCCCATTGCCCCCCATTCCACCCCCCCATTGCCCCCCCATTCCACCCCCCATTGAGCCCCATTGACCCCATTCCATCCCCCATTCCCCCATTGACCCCATTGCCCCCCATTCCACCCCCATTGAGCCCCATTGACCCCCATTCCACCCCCCATTGAGCCCCATTGCCCCCCATTCCAGCCCCCCATTGACCCCCATTGCAGCCCCCCATTGAGCCCCATTGACCCCCATTCCACCCCCCATTGCCCCCCATTCCACCCCCATTGAGCCACATTTGCCCCCATTCCACCCCCCCACTGACCCCCATTCCACCCCCCCATTGCCCCCATTGCAGCCCCCCATTCCACCCCCCATTGAGCCCCATTGACCCCCATTCCATCCCCCCATTGCCCCCCCCAGACCCCCATTCCACCCCCCCATTGCCCCCAATTCCACCCCCCATTGACCCCATTGCCCCCCATTCCACCCCCATTGAGCCCCATTGACCCCCATTCCACCCCCCATTGAGCCCCATTGCCCCCCATTCCAGCCCCCCATTGACCCCCATTGCAGCCCCCATTGAGCCCCATTGCCCCCCATTCCACCCCCCCATGTCCCCCCCATTGAGCCCCACTGATCCCCCCCTTACCCCTGCCCTTGAAGAGGAGCCCCACGGGGATGGAGAAGAGCAGCACGCTCAGGTACGTGAGCTCCTCGGGCGTCATGGCCGGAAAGAGCCGAGCGCTTCCGGAAACACCCGAACCCCTTCCGGAAACACCCGAACCCCTTCCGGAAGCACCCGAACCCCTTCCGGAAGCACCCGAACCCTTTCCGGAAGCACCCGAAACCTTCCGGGACCCCCTGAACCCCTTCGGGACCCCCTGAGCTCAAGCGGAAACAGCCGAGGGTTACCGGAAACAGCCGAGCACTTCCGGAAACACCCGAACGATTCCGGAAGCACCCGAACCCTTCCGGACCCCCCCGACCCCCTTCGGGATCCACCGAACCCCTTCCGGAAACACCTGAACCCTTCCGGAAATACCCGAACCCCTTCCGGAAACACCCGAACCCTTCCGGACACCCCCCGACCCCCTTCGGGACCCCCCGAACCCTTCCGGAAACACCCGAACCCTTCCGGACAACCCCCGACCCCCTTCGGGACCCCCCGAACCCTTCCGGAAACACCCGAACCCTTCCGGACAACCCCCGACCCCCTTCGGGACCCCCCGAACCCTTCCGGAAACACCCGAACCCCTTCCGGAAGCACCCGAACCCCTTCCGGAAACACCCGAACGCTTCCGGATCCCCCCGACCCCCTTCGGCCCCCCCTCCCCCCCAGCCCCTCCGAAGCAGCCCGAGCGTCACCGGAAGCAGCCGAACGTCACCGGAAATACCCGAACCCTTCCGGAAACACCCGAGTCCTTCCGGCATGGGGGGGGGGGGGCTCTTAAAAGGGCTCTGTCCCTTTAAGACAGGGAAAGGCTCCTTTAAGAGATGGGGGGGGTGTCTTAAAGGGCTCTGTCCCTTTAAAACAAAGACTCCCTTTAAGGGGGGGGCTCTTAAAAGGGCTCTGTCCCTTTAAGACCAAGACCCCTTTAAGAGGGGTCTTAAAAGGGCTCTGTCCCTTTAAGACACGGAAAGACCCCTTTAAGAGATGGGGGCTCTTAAAAGGGCTCTGTCCCTTTAAGACATGGGAAGACCCCTTTAAGGGGGGGGGGCTCTTAAAAGGGCTCTGTCCCTTTAAGACCAAGACCCCTTTGGTGGGGGGGGGCTCTTAAAAGGGCTCTGTCCCTTTAAGACCAAGACCCCTTTGGTCTTAAAAGGGCTCTGTCCCTTTAAGACCAAGACCCCTTTGGTGGGGGGGGCTCTTTAAAAGGGCTCTGTCCCTTTAAGACAGGGAAAGACCCCTTTAAGCGATGGGGGCTCTTAAAGGACTCTGTCCCTTTAAAAACAGGGAAAGGCTCCTTTAAGGGGGGGGGGCTCTTAAAAGGGCCCTGTCCCTTTAAGACACAGAAAGACCCCTTTAAGGTGGGGCTCTTAAACGGGCTCTGTCCCTTTAAGACAGGGAAAGGCTCCTTTAAGAGATGAGGGGGGTGTCTTAAAAGGGCTCTGTCCCCTTTAAAACAAAGGACCCCCTTTAAGGGGGGAGCTCTTAAAAGGGCTCTGTCCCTTTAAGACCAAGACCCCTTTAAGAGGGGTCTTAAAAGGGCTCTGTCCCTTTAAGACACGGAAAGACCCCTTTAAGAGATGGGGGCTCTTAAAAGGGCTCTGTCCCTTTAAAACAGGGAAAGCCCCTTTGGAGGGGCTCTTAAAGGGCTCTGTCCCTTTAAGACAGAGAAAGGCTCCTTTAAGGGGAGGGTGGGGCTCTTAAAAGGGCTCTGTCCCTTTAAGACCAAGACCCCTTTAAGAGGGGTCTTAAAAGGGCTCTGTCCCTTTAAGCCGGGAAAGGCCCCTTTAAGAGCCCCCCCCCCCCCCGCTCCCTGTACGGAACCCTTCCCGTCATCCCCCTCGGTTCCAAGATGGCGGCGCCCACGGAGCCTCCGGAGCTGCGGCTGCTGCGCGGCCGCGGCCTCGTTTTTCGGGGCGGGTTCCGCGCGTGCGCTGCGGGAGCGGCACCACGTGACCGGGGCGCTGCTGGGGCCACGCCCCCCCGGGAGCCCCGCCCCCGCGGCGGGCGGCTTCCGGTGCTGCTGCTGCCGGAGGAGCTGCGGCTGCTGGGGAGGGGGGGAGTGCGCATGCGCGGGGGAGGGGTGAGCGGGGATGGGGGGGGGGGGCTATGGGGCAGCAATGGGGCGGGGATGGGGGGGAATGGGGGGGTTATGGGGCGGATATAGGGGGTTATGGGGTGGGTATGGGGGGGTTATGGGGCGGATATAGGGGGGGTTATGGGGCAGCAATGGGGCGGGGATGGGGGGAGTTATGGGGCGGATATAGGGGGGTTATGGGGGGGTTATGGGGGGGTATGGGGCAGCAATGGGGCGGATATATGGGGGTTATGGGGCGGATATAGGGGGGTTATGGGGGGTTATGGGGTGGATATAGGGGGGTTATGGGGGGGTTATGGGGCGGTATGGGGCAGCAATGGGGCGGTTATGGGGCGGATATAGGGGGGTTATGGGGGGATATGGGGCAGCAATGGGGCGGATATGGGGGGGTATGGGGGGGTTATGGGGGGGTTATGGGGCAGCAGTGGGGCGGATATGGGGGGTATGGGGGGGGTTATGGGGCGGATATAGGGGGGCTATGGGGCAGCAATGGGTGGATATGGGGGGGTATGGGGATGATATGCAGGGGGTATGGGGATGATATGGGGGGTTATGGGGTAGCAATGGGGCGGATATGGGGGGGTATGGGGATGATATGGGGGGGTTATGGGGCGGATATAGGGGGTTATGGGGTGGATATGGGGGGTTATGGGGCAGCAATGGGGCGGATATGGGGGGTATGGGGATGATATGGGGCGGATATGGGGAGTTATGGGGCAGTAATGGGGCAGATATGGGGGGGTACGGAGATGATATGGGGGCTTATGGGGGGGTATGAGGGACTATGGGGCAGCAATGGGGTGGATATAGGGGGGTTATGGGAATGATATGGGGGGGTATGGGGCAGCAATGGGGCTGATATGGGGGTATGGGGTGGATATAGGGGGGCTATGGGGATGATATGGCGGGGTTATGGGGCAGCAATAGGGCTGAAGTAGGTGAGTAATGGGGCTCATAATAGGGGGGCTATGGGGTGGATATAGGGTGACTATGGGGCAGATATGGATGGTTATGGGGCAGATATGGGGGGTTATGGGGCTGATATGGGTGGTTACGGGGCAGATACGGCAGGCTATGGGGCAGATGTGGGGCAGTTTTGGGCTGTGGGAGAACTATGGGGTGGGGGAGATTTATGGGGCAGGTAAAGGGCAGCTGTGGGGCAGCCGTGGGGCTGCCCCCTTTCTTATTCCCTCCCCTTTCAGGCACAGGATGAGCCGGAGAAAAGCCCCACAGGTATGGGGGGGGCAGTTATGGGGCAGTGATGGGGTACAATGCTGCAGTTAAGGGGTGCTATGGGGGCAGTGATGGGGTACAATGCTGCAGTTATGGGTGCTATAGGGCAGTTATGGGGCGCTATAGAGCAGTTATGGGGCGCTATGGAGCAGTTATGGGGCGCTATGGGGCAGTGATGGTGTACAATGCTGCAGTTATGGGGCGCTATAGGGCAGTTATGGGGCGCTATGGGCAATTATGGGGCGCTATGGGGCAGTGATGGTGTACAATGCTGCAGTTATGGGGCGCTATAGGGCAGTTACGGGGCGCTATGGGGCAGTGATGGGGTACAATGCTGCAGTTATGGGGTGCTATGGGGCAGTGATGGGGTACAATGCTGCAGTTATTGGGGTGCTATGGGGCAGTGATGGGGTACAATGCTGCAGTTAAGGGGTGCTATGGGGCACTGATGGGGTACAATGCTGCAGTTATGGGGCGCTATAGGGCAGTTACGGGGCGCTATGGGGCGCTATGGGGCAGTGATGGGGTACAATGCTGCAGCTATGGGGTGCTATGGGGCAGCCCCTCACTGACCCCCACCCCCCTCTTGCAGACCCCTCCTCCAAGAGCCTTCAGCCCCTCCCCCACCCCCGGACGGGAGCTGCCCCTCCCCCACCGCCTGCCCCACACATGAGCACCGCTACCGCGTGTACCGGGATCTATGGGGCAAGGGCCTGTACCTGACCCACGGCGGCAAGTTCGGGGGGGACTTCCTGGTGTACCCAGGTATGGGGCAGCGGGGGTGGGGGTCTCTGTGGCCTCTATGGGGTCCTGTGGGTCTCTATGGGTCTCTCCGGGTCTCTATGGGTCTCTATGGGTCTTTATGGTTCCTATGGCTCCCTATGGGTCCCTATGGGTCTCTGTGGGTCCCTGTGGGTCTTTATGCTCTCTATGGTCTCTATGGGTCTCTATGGGTCTTTATGGTCCCTATGGATCCCTATGTTCTCCTATGGTATCTCTATGTGTCCCTATGGGTCCCTATGGGTCTCTGTGTGTCCCTATGGGTCCCTGTGGGTCTCTGTGTGTCCCTATGGGTCTCTCTGGGTCTTTATGGTCTCTATGGCTCCCTATGGGTCTCTATGGGTCCCTGTGAGGTCCCTATGGGTACCTCTGGGTGTCTATGGGTTTTTATGATCCCTATGGTCTCTATAGGTCTCTATGTGTCCCTATGGGTCCCTCTGGGTCTCTATGGCTCCCTATGGGTCCCTCTGGGTCCCTCTGGGTTTTTATGGTCCCTATGTGTCTCTATGTGTCTCTATGGGTCTCCCTATGGGTCTCTGTGGGTCCCTATGGGTCTCTATGGGTCGCTATGGGTCCCTATGGGTCTCTATGGGTCTCTCTATGGGTCTCTATGGGTCTCCCCCCCCCAGGCCCCCCCTCCCGTTTCCACGCCGCCGCCCTCTGTCTGTGCCCCGCCCCCTGCTCGGGATTGGCTCCGGGCTCCCTCGTGGCCGCCGCCCGCCTGGGCACCCACGTGCGCAAGACGCTGCTGCTCTGCTCCGCCGGGCCGCCAGGGGGCGCCCCCGCCTACACCTCCCTCCAATGGCCGCAGACCTCGCCTGACACCACGTGACACCGCGGGGAGGGCGGGGCGTGGACACCACGTGATGGGGGGGTGTGTGTACACCACGTGATGGGGGGGGGCGTGTACACCACGTGACACCGGGGGGGGGGGGGGGGGGTGTAGG